ACACACTTGCACATGTACACAAATCCGCCCTGTATATGTAAACATGTACATACATAGGCATATACATATACACCCATCAATCTTTGACACGTAAACATTTAACATGCACAATCATGCATGTACACCTTTGCATGTGTTTTTGGTTGTGAGTCTCGTGCAAGGCACCTGAGGGTTTCCCTAGATTGTTGGGTCCCTGGCTGTAGCCTCTGGGGCGCGATACACGGGGCCCCCAAAAGGAGCTGTTTCCGGTGGCTCTGAAAACTCACAGTAGACATCCCAAGTCTTCTTGCTTCCGAATTCTGGTTGCAGGAAGATGCCCGCACCAGTCAGCCAGTCAGCGGCCTTGCTTTTTGAGGCTTCCGAAGGAACATGTTGGGGAAGCAACGGCCCTGAAAAATGCAACTTTCACAGCAAGCTGTGCGGTTGTGGTTTCCCGCGGTTCCTACTGCGCTTGGATTTCGAAGTGGAAGGATGCCTTGGTTCCCCGAAAGAAGGTCTCAAATTCTTGGACGCATTGCCCTCGTTTTCTGCACAGGGCAAAACGCGGGAGGTTGTCAACTAGTCAATCTTGGAAGAAATCATCAAGATCTTTCTGAGACGACAACTCCCCAAATTCAGACCTGGGGAGGTACATCGCCTAAACCCGCCACGTCTGAAGGGTTTCTTCGAGCGCACTGGCCCTTCCTGGTGGGGAAAAGGAGGTTTTAGGTTACCGCTTTCGTGGTCAAGGGAATCCCCCTTCCCCCTTGATCAGGTCCTGCGATTGGCTCATGGGCTAGGCAGAACTGATCATAGCCGCCACCATTTTCCCAAGTGATCACCTAGTTCTGGTTCGGCTCAGGTGCGCATGACCTCCACGGGAGTGGCCCATTGTATTTCGGGTATCACAACTAGGTCCCCCAGTAGTTCTACAGAAAAAAAAGGGCACGCTTATTCTGACCTCTTACTGGAGGACCTAGACAGTTTCTTTTCTTTTTTTTGGGGGGGGAAGGGAGTTGTCCCATGCGCTTGGTGCGCCCAGATGTGCACCAGCACTGGCAGCGCGGGGCCTTTACGGCCTCGGAGCTGACGATGAAGAGCCGCAAGAAAGGCGTGGGACTAAGCCTTAAGCCTCGGGCCGTGGGGTGGCTGGAGGGTCTGTGGATCCAAATCGGGGGTGCGAAAATAAAAATAACATATGCTTGATTGTTGTTGGGTTGGATCTTGAGACTTCAACCGTTTTGGTTGACATCATTTGGGGTTTTCCATTGAACCGGCAAGAAGTTCAAGCTTTTGGCAGAGGGGTCAACAGAAGCCAGGTCTGCGTCGTTTCATAAGTACTAGCATGTTGGATCTGATCCTGACTTTGGTTTCGAACTCCCCAGGCCCCATTCCATGTGTTTAAGCCCTACGTTTGGTGTTTTCTCGAAGTGTTCTCCCAACGGAAAGGGGGGGGGACTTTTGCGTGGCGCTTGTTTAGGGTGACATGGCGGCGGGGTTGGGGGTGGGTTGGGTGCATTGTGCGGTTGAACCTTTTGATTTCCCTTAAGGACCCTTTTGCGCTCAACCCACTTTTGTTTGAACCACTAACTGCGGTCAACAGAGCCCGGGACCGCGCATTTTGAGAAGCTTTGTTGGGGCTTTTCCTATCTTCTGCCAATTCCACCTCTGGTGGGATCCCTTTGAAGTTATATTTGGCTCTTTCATCAACATGGAACCAGCCAGAAGGCTCACGCTCCATTGGACAACATTCACGCCCATCAGCCCTCACCAGTTGGTAGGTGGTTTCTCCCAGCGGGTCTGCAGGCATTCGCTTCAAAGCGAGCTACGACGCGGTGATCATGGTCGGCCTCTCGCACGGCAACGGCAACGACTACTACTGGGACATTGACTACTCCATGTATGTGCCTTGGTCAAAGCTAAGCAGCAGAAGCGCGACCGGTATCTGAGCGCCAACTTGGCTCTTGGCGACAACCTGATGGCGAGAGAGAGGGCCAACAGGGAATGTCTGGTCTCCAAAACATGCTTCGGACTTGGCTTCTGGGAACTTTGGATCTTTTTTTCCCCACCAGGCTGAAACAAAGAACAGGCAGGACAAAGGTTGTGCAGCGCGTGAATCCAAAGACAAGTCGACCAAATCTGGCCAGTGAAGTGCTCAGTGCCTTCATCCGAGAGTCCCAAGGCAATGCTGGTCCACCGCCAGCTTCCCCAACAGCGGTAGACCCCAAAAAAGAATTGCACGGTGTCACCAACGCTATAGAAATTAGGCAAGCAAGGTTTAATCAGTTCACCCGGCAGCATTGATGGGGATGGTCAGTTGGTCATCAACTTAAGGTTTTCAGACAAAACAGGTTCTTATCAAGGCCATGATCGCAGGAAGTTAAGCCCCAACGCACCTGGGGGGATTGTCCCAACAAATCGGACCATTTGAGGCACCTGCGTTCGGCGTTGGTGTCATTTTGTGCCCCCCAAGAAAAGCGGGGGGGGGGGGGGGTGGCCAGAATCGCCATGTTGGCACTGCCCCCACATGATTTGGCCCCTGATTCTGACTGGGTCATTTTCCCGGAGGTGCAGGAAGTTTGTCTTTTTGGGGGCCCTTTCAGGCACGTTGATTGGGAGGGAGCATTGGAGATGACTTCGATCATGGCGAAACGCCGCGCCTTGCGAACAATTTGGCACCCGCAGACTTGGAGACCCATAGGACTCAGAGGCAAAATCTGGCCCACCTGGCCAGGCAAAATGCGGCTAGACATCTGGGATACGGTGGATTCCCTGGCAAACTTCAAGCAAACCAGCCACACTCAACCACATGGTAAAAACCAGTAACTTGAGAATCAGGTGCAATATTCAGGGCATCTACCGTATCTTCATACGATGCATTCTTGGGGTCGGGTGGATTTTGGTGCGTTCAAGCTAGCCACGCAGCATGTTGGGATCGATTGCTTGGCTTTGCTTCTGTGTTTTCCATTGGATCTGTTTCGCTCGTTGTCTCCTTCCGTGGTGATTTCCTATGAGCATTGTTTTCGAAGCGAACAAAGTGACTCCAAAGGTAGTTATCCAAATATTCCAAAAGCTACAAATCACTTCACATGAAAACCCCCAGAAGGGACCCCTTGTACTGTTTCCAAAGGAGCCCGCAGCTTTCACATGGAACAGGAAAAGGCTGTGCGGGTTTCGGGTTTCACGTGTGTGAGGTGTACACCTGGGGCCGACGCCTTTGGTATCGCAATGGGCCCGGCAGCTGGTGGGGTGTAGGCCCCAGACATCTTCTCGTAAGCAGAGGGAGAGATGCGGAGAGGCGGGCTTTCGGTGGGTTTTCATGTGATTTCAATGTCTTCGTTTGAAGAAGCATGTGTGATTTCTCCTGCCTCCAACACTGAACCAGGGTTACGGCATCGTGTGGGGTGCTTACTTTTCTTGCTTCTGCCGTGCCGGCACCCGGCTTCTCCTCAGAAAGCCTCTGAACCACCTGACTCCACTCCCCACCCCATCCCATGGCATGAGGTGGACAGCTGCAACAACCTTTGGAGATGTCCAATTCGTTTTGATGCACAGTCCCAGAAAATTGAGCTCTTGGGGGGAAGGAACACCCAAGAAAGTGCCCTTGACTCGTTTTCAGGCAGAGACCAATCTGTACCGCAACCAGGGGACTTGGAAGCTCAAAACCTTCGAATCTTCAGCTTCCATTGCAGGGTAAAACTGTGTGGCAACTTCCCATTCTCAACCCAGGGATCCTTCTTTCCAGAAAACTACCCAAACCCCAGAGAGAAGGTATTTATTATACCCGTTTGTGCTTCTGTTGGTGCTCCCCCATTCTCTTCACCCATCCGTCTGTTCAGAAACCACAGTTTCCCTTGGGTTTGGGGGCAATTTCTCTGAACAGACAGTTTCTGAGCAGAAAAAACGGGGATGCTGCTGTTGGAATTTGGGTCGAAGCACCTTTCTTGTCGCTTCCCTTCCCTGCAGTTTCGCCGCTTTGCCGAGGCAGCGCCCACGGGGGCGCGTGGCAGTGGAAAGGCTTCGACCAAGACGTCTTCGAAGTGAGGCGAGAGACGTCATCCCGTCGTCCCAGTGGGTAGAAAGGACGAATTTCAGAAGTTCTCACTTCCACGAGGTGGAAAGACCATTTCAGAGGGAAGCAAACAAGCTCAGACTCATGTCAAATCCGCTCAGGAAGTGAGCTGGGAACGGATGGATCAACTGGTTAGGCAGGGGGTGTCCCATTCAAGCGGGGAACGTTCACTTGCGGGAACAACCCCGAAGGAGTAGTCATCCGATAGCCAGGGTTGCTCCTGCTCCGTTTTGAAAGAGATGACCACCGCCCCTTGGCGCCCCTTGGGGGCGCAAAATGGATTGGCTCCCTTTGTTCCTTTGCCAGGGGTTGCCAAGTGTTTTAACGCTGCCGACCAAGTCGCTCTGAGAGCAGCCCTGTCAGCGCTAGCAATCCACATTGTAAGAAAGAGGATAGCAATCGTTTCCTTCATTCTCCAAGCGGTCCTTTCGACTTTCCGCCCGGCCGCGTGATGGTGTCGAATCTGGACAACCCCGCTTGCCAAAAGGACACCAAGGGGGAATCCAAATGAAACCGAAGGGAAACCAAAGGGACACCAAAGGGAAGACTCCAAGTTTGAGGTTCCCTCATTTTCAGACACCCAATGCAGCCGCCTTGAGGGGTGGCCGGCCTATTGTTTGCCCGACGCCAGAGGACATCTGTTCGATTCCGTTGATGTAGCAAAAAGGAATCGATCTGAAGAGGGATGCCGGCATGCCCATTGACCGATCTGTATGTCACATCACAGGGCTTTGTGATGATATATATATATATACGGTACGCCCCCCCCCCCCCTTTCCTGGTGCCTAGCTTTTGCTTAATATATATATATATATATATGTATATATATATATATATGTCCTTTCACTGGCAACATCGAGATCGCAGGCTGAGCTCAGATCGCACCAAAGTGGAGTATGTGAACAACAACCGTGTCAAGTACACGGCCCCGGAGACCGCGTGGTTTCCCATGAATGCCGTGACTTGGAGAGAAGAGGATGGGGCGCAAGGGCTTGAGAAAGTCGTTGCCTTGTTTCCAGTCGAGAGGTCTCACATCATTTGGACAGATTGCTAATTCATAGCTCCGTGTGATGCTGCATGTTTGGGCCACATCGGACTTTTTGTTTCGGCACGAGTCACTGACACCGTGGGAAAAGTTCGCAACTTTGTCCGTAAGTCACACAGCGTGGATTGCTGGAAATGGCTGCTGCCCGCTGATCCTCTGGAGGATGCAGGCACGCGGCACGCCCCAGGCGTCGGGCCAATGTCCAAATCTATTTGGAGATCAGGTCTTAGAGCCGGGTTCGTGATCGAGAAAAGGGGCAAGGGGCGCCCACTTGAAGGGGGTCCGATTTTTGGGCATGTCCCACATTGTTACATGTCTTTCAGACTGCTCAATTTCAGGGGGGCCCTTCATCACGACCTGCAGAGTCCTGGGTGAGGAACAAAGCCGGGACACGAGTGACTCGGGCCGAGTTTCGGGACCGGTTTCCTTGGCCTCATGTAGTTTGTTCTAATATTCGCCAAATAGCGTCGATGGGTTTGAAAATGTGTGCTGGCAAACTCACTTGTCACTTGTAGGACACAAACACCAGCCCGGCCAAATTGTCCCATCCTCGTGGGGAGACCAAAGATGTTGTCCAGGGCTCGTATGCCCGTGTGCTGAAGTATCTGTGGATAGCTCAAGCTAAGCACTGCCACCAAGGCGGGTCATTTCAACTGAGCCGCGTTTTTTTCTCAGATGATGGATTTTAGCTTCGTGGGGAACTCCAAAAAGCTCCGCGAAGGCACTTGTGCGATACATTGTGTACCGCGAAGCCCCGCGAAGCCACTTCGCGTAGCCCGGTAACATTGACACAGGCGAAGCCACTTCGCGAAGCCACTTCGTCGTTTGAGCGTATTGCGTGCTTTCATGGCAAGTGTGTTGTGCGCTTTCATGGCAGTAGTATTCCAAAGGTTGATGTTTAGAGTCAGCAGGCTACGACAAGATTACAGGAAGATTACGGGAAGACGACCGGAAGAGCACTGTGCGTTTCAGGCTCGGTTTTGCTAGAAACGATGGAACGTTTTCGCGAAGCCTTTGCGAAGCCCCCGCGAAGCCTCCGCGAAGCCACCGCGGTCCAACTTCCATGCTCCGCCCCTTTGAGGCCCAGCCATGTCCCCTAGTCCTGAAGCTCAATGCCTCTCTTGCCGCCTTTCATCGAACCCTTTCGCATGGACTCAACTTGATTCAACAACATGGGGGCGCAAATGTGAGAGATGTTTGTGGAACAAACATCCGCGAAGCCCGGCGAAGCCACTCCGCGAAGCCACAGTCTTGCCGCGAAGCCTCGCGAAGCCAACCCTTCCACAAATTCTGGCCCTGCGAAGCCCCCCGCGTAGCCTCCCCAGCAGTGTATAAGCCCTGAACCTCTAAAAAAAACAGTGCTCAACTGACTTTGCCCGATTGGTAGCGGACAAGGAGGAGTAAGCTGATGAAGCTCACTGTTACGAGAACAAGCTGAATAACTAGCTGCCTGATAGCCATGGGGTCAATTCGCCAATCCCAGGTTTAGGATTGCTAGAGGGTATGAGCACAGCTCCAGAGAGGTTTCGGGGCTGGGGATAATCCGCGGGCTTATTTCTCCCCACAGTGCTCAGGACACCAGCATCTACCGGGGCTCCATCTACGATGTGTCCTGGGTGTGCGAAGGTGGGTGCTCGGAGGAGTGAGCGGGTTGAACAGTTGACCTGCAAAACACCTCAACCCCTCAAACCCTCAAACCCTCAAACCCTCAAACCCTCAAACCCTAAGCCCCTAAACCCGGCGAAAGTAGATGTCGCAATTCCCTTAAAGGTAAGTAAAGTGGAATGATAAAAAAAGGGAGGTAGTGCCATCTACCCTGACCAACTGTACTACAACCCGTCCGTTTGGAAGAGTGTGTTTGGCGGTTCTTGTGAAGGGAAGGACGGAGTGGCTGAACTGAACCACTGGCAGAACGCAGGCTTTGTTGACAGGGTTGTCTCTAAATGGGTTGGACTTCCCAAAATGGGTTGGATCCCCGGCTTCCCTTCTTTGGCTAAGATCTTTTGTCGGCAAGCCTCGAGTGGGGGTTTCGGCACGCAGCCTGAAAAAAGGGGATGAGCAGAAGCCCAAGACCGAGCACCTCGTTATGTTGGGGCGAGGATCCCTACCCCAGTTTTCGGAGGATGGCAATGTCAGGGGCATCGTAGCTGGGTAAAGGTTGGCCCATTGGCTCTTGGTCCTCGAAGGCACTTTGCTGAGCTCACTCAGGAAGACAAGCTCACCAAAGATTGAGGTCCGAGGGTATGAATTTAAGTGGGATCCTTTGGTGGACATGGTGGGATGTTTTGCTGTGTCCACCAAGCGCTGTTGAGGGGGTTCCGTTCACACCGGTGGGTGTTGATCGGGTGTCCCATTTAGAGAGCCACTTTTCACTGTCGGGCGAAACAACCGAACCATCCACCAAGTTCTGCTTAGAAAGTCGACATTAGAAGACACCAGCCACTGGACATTCTGCAGGAAATCCATGTTGGTGAGTGTTTGGTCAATTTTCTGTAGACATTCGCGTAGCTGGTTTCTATGATCATTTCTAGAACGGTTTCAACAACTAGAAAGGGTTGTGCGGAAGTCATCAGAGGCTAAGGTGCGCAATGTCTACCCTCAACAATCATGGAAGTGGACAGGTGGATTCCCCAAGAGGCAAGTAGTCTCAAACCCTCCGATCGCCAGCTTCCATTGGAGGCTAGTTTGGTAACTTCCCATTCTCAACGGGATCCTTTCCAGAAAGCTACCCAACACACCATCCTTTCCAGAAAACTACCCGAACCCCAGGGACAAGGGCTGATTCGGGTGTGCGCCTGTTTTTTAGGATGCACCCTTTTTTCACTTGCTTTCACCGGGCATCCAAAAGGAACACCCCACGATTTTTGCAGGGGTTCCGCCCCAAAAAAATCCCTTTTTCGGATGGTTTGACAGAGGAAGAATTCGACCTTATTCTTGTTTTTTGAGGGGGGGAGTTCGGTTCCCCCCCAAAAGAAAACATCATTTGTTTGATTCTCTTTTTCGGGGGGGGGGAGTTCGGAAACCGAACCCCGAACCCCCCCAAGCGGAATTCCATGTCTTGGTTCCATTTCTCAGGAGCCCGGGTACGAGCTGATGTTCCTGGAAACGGACGCCAAGCGCTGGGCCCGCGGGCCCAACGGCCCCTCGGGCAGCGAGCGCCCCAACGGCGAGGGGTGCGGGAGCTCAGTTTGGGAGGAGGTGGCCTGGGTGAGGTTGGAGATTTGGAATCAAGTTAGGGTGAACACCACCCATATATATATATATATGTACATTGTATATATATATATAGATTCCTCTAATTAAACAAACACGCCATACTATTCAGAGTTAATATCTGATGGTACAGGTAAACCGAAGAATATTCCAGAGATAACTTGTAATACAGAAAAACATCTTGTTTGTAATAAAGACGCCACGATTCCAACAATGATTTATGACGAGAGCACAAGGACAGGAGAGTGGACAACAATGGAAACTCAGCATATAGTCATGGTATGGCCAAGCATGAACGAAGTTTCAGACACCTTTCCTTCTGCCACCTCGTGGACGGTGGCTTTGCCACCTCTCTGGCACCTTTTCAGATGATGTCCCAAAACTCTGCTGGGCCTTCAGGTTGTACAGGATGCTTTCCCCCGGTTGCCTGCTACTGGGAATGGTACCGAGAGAACCTACCGGGCCGTGATTTTTTGTTTTGTTTTGTTGTTTCCTTCGTTTCCTCCGCGCTGCTGGGTTCCGGGGATCGGGAGGTACACCTCCGGGGAGTACGCGCTCTTCACGCAGCAGTCCCTGGACTCTTGCAAGATGCGCCTTGGTTCCAACGTCGGCTCGGTTTGCTGGTGCGGTCGGCGCATGCATTTTTGCTGAGATGGTTAGTTTTTGTTTCCCCTTTTTTTCCGGTTTCGAATTTTGAAACCAATGGGGAAGGTACCTCCCTAACATCCGAACCACCAAACCAAACCACCAATTCGGGGCAAGGTGATTTTGTATTTTCATCTTCCCCTCTTGGTTTTGAAGGGACTCAACCACTGGACAATTTGTTTTAGTTTTTCCTGGAGACTAAAAAAAGCAAATGGAGGCTGAGATGGGTCCAAGTGACCCGTTGAAACCTCGATTTGGGATCCGGGGAAACCTCCCACTTGCGGGGTCCCAAGAAAAAACTTGAGGCATTCTCCACATTTCGGGGGAGCAAGGCTCAAAGGAGAGAGAGGCACTCCAGGGGTAAACCGTTTACCACGAAGGTTCGAAATCTGGTGGGATCCAACTTGGTTTCTGGTTTGGGAATTGAGTTGAACTCAACCTTTTGTGTTGCCCCCTCCTGTTTGTTTGATTTTCTTTAAACCGTCAAGCCAAACACGGTAAGCTGTTAGTTTCAGGTCCGTTCGAGCGATACAGCGGAGAAGGGGAGAGTGGAAAATACATCTGTTGCTGTAGGAGATGCTGGATCGGGCTAGCCCCAAGCCCAGGTTGCAGCATACACGCTTTTTCCTTGTGTCGCATAGGTGTCCTACTGTGTTTGGTTGAAATCAGATGGTTCCAATGATTTACCATTGCCGTCGTTCTTCCAAAATGACAGGCCAGGCTTGTTTCAGACCCTGGCGTTTTCGCACTGACTTGCAGCACGCGAGGTTAAATTGTAGAATTCAGTGGGTGAGGTTTGTGTGCCTTGGGTTATCACTTGCATCAGCTGCACTGGGATTTCACATGCATGTTGTCCAGTGGCTACAGAATATGACAAAGTCGGACGCCCCTTGATTTGTTTAGTTTTGTGTTGGCTTTCGTTTTGACACGCGGCCCCCAAAAATGGGTGAGCTTTGAACACCCGTGCCGTGGCCAACTCCAAGAACGCTGGCAGTGGCCGGAGCCTGCGCAGGGTACTCTAGACACACATGAGCACCCAACACCCTTATTGCCCATTTCAGTAGCTGGTTTAACTGGGGCTATAGAAAGGCCATAAATGAACCTTTCCATATCCATTTAGAGCCCAAAGTTGCTGGGTTTTGGGCACTTCTCACACTTGCGCGACCAAGCAACGAAATAAAGATGCCGGGAGTCTTCCGCTTTACATCTCAATCCAGAAGTGTCTGTATCCGATTGTGCCTGCGGGGAGTGGTTGTCAAAAAAATGCAAAGCGAATCCCCAGCCTTTCCTCGAAGGGATTCTCCCTGATCTAAGCCTCTGCCTTGTGGCGAAGTCCTTTTTTTCTGTCCAGGGTCGCTCCGAGCCTCTGAAAGATGACCACAACAAAAGGGCAGACAATGGGATAGCTGCTTTCTGTGGTTTCCCCTTGCGGGCCAAACTTCCACCCCAAAGTGCCAGGATCTTTGGACCCCCTGTTTCAAATGAATCAACGGTACCCCGTTTGGAAAATGGCAGCTTTCTGACGGAGGATCCAGCAGCTTCACTTTCAGCCAACCCCCCTCAAAGGATTCCCTGAGAACCAGCAAGTCTACGTCCTGTCATGCTTGTGCATTGGGTGTCAAGCCACTTTCTGTGGCACCAAGGATATCCTGCTAGGCATGGGATACCCCATGTCGGTATCACAACTACAAGCGCGTCGTTCGCTGAGGCTATGCAACGAGCGGTACTGGTGCGCGGGCTTCGGGTTCAAGCACACCGACTCCTTTGGCGATGAGCCCGACTGGCAGGAGAAGGGGGGAGGTCTGGCTGTTATGCATCATTGCCAGACTTTGCTCGCCTTTGTTTTGACTTGTTGCCCTTTTTAGTGTTCCTTCACCGTCCCGTACAGACAGGAAATCGCGACCCGGATATGGCTGTGAATTTCGAAGAGTTGTGACCCTCAAAAGAGTTGTGACCCAAATGGCGGAGACAACTCCGCTCATGTGAAGAATGCCACAGGTTGCCCAATGAACATTTGCCAAACACGGCCAACATGGGCAAGCGTTTCTAGGGGTCCATGACGACTCACAACTGGCAGAGTTTCAGCCATGTGAAGAAAGTCTCAGGCTCCAACAGTTGCAATCCAACAGTCAAAATTCAGCTGTGACCAAGTTCGGGGCCTTTCCAAACTGGCCTTCCCTGCAACAACACCATCGACAACTCTTCGTGGTGCTGTGCTACGAAAAGCGGTCAAACACACGAAACAATGGCAGGAGACACGTTCATGGTAGCAGTCAAGATATTGTGCAAGTAATTTTGCTGAAGTAAAGGCGACAACGACCTTGTTGACCTCGCCCAACACGACGCACTCTAAAATCAGGTTGCAAACACCATGAGCGTGGGACAGCCAGTGCTGGAAACGCACAAAGCCAGCCACACCAACACCGAACGCCTGTGCAGAAAGCATAGCATACCAAAAGACCAATATGGGCTGCAGTCCAAAACCCATCCGCTTCCAATGTGGGCTTTGATAAGTTGGGCTGCAACCCCTTCCCTTCTAGGAAGAAAAGACGCATGGGTCCAAAGGTACATTTTCTCCCTCAGATTGACATGGACCCCCAAACAGAGTTACCAAAAGCTCCACAAGGGATAGTTGTTTAAGGTCAATGTTACTCCCAGTCAGTTTCCATTACACCTTGCGTCTCAAATCTGGTTTCGCCTTGCAGGCTTTCTTCCAACCTCATGTCCAAACAGGGATAGAAACTTGGAGAGGCCACCCAATGTTTCCATCTCAAATTCCGACGTTCTTCTCCAATCAAGTTTTACCCTCCGATCGAATCGGCCAATTCGACCTAGTTTCCACCCGACGGTTTTTTTCCATCACCCGATCAAATCGGCCGAACGGGAGCGGCCCTGTTCAGGAGGGAACCTGTCAGTTGGTGAGCCAGCTCGTTGAGACGACCTCGCACGTCAAGAACTTTGACTCTTACAAAAAGGCTCGCCCTTCCGGTTGTCGTATTTAGGTGGGTCCCCTTCGTTCCCTGGTTCCCTGTTGTTTGCAGTTGTTGTTATTTGTTCTTTCTACCTCGTGTTTTCCCTTGCTGCTTTTAATCACCTTAGGTTTACTGTGTTGCTTGGGTCGTTTTCTTGCAATATTTAGGCAGCCCCGCATTTTTGCCGCCGTCCTAAACAGCATACTTTGGAACCCCCCAGCGCCTCAAAAATGCAGTCGCGGAGGTGGTGAAGCCTGACATTCCGCTTTCAAGTTCCATTCTCCGTTATATTAGTTGGGTATGGGTCAAAATTAAACCAACAGGGGACCGCAGATTTTGGTCCATGTTTCCACTTGCCAGGGTTCCATTTTGGGTACCTATTTTTGACCCACAGCCATTTGTGGGGTGAGGACGGACCGCATGAAATTGCCAGGTGGGGGGGATGTTTGGGACCAGTTGTAGGGATACCTGTCGTTGCGCAGCAAGAAGTGAACGCAATGCCCCACTTTTTCAAGCAGAATTGCAAACAGCTCCATGCGATATCAAGATTGCGCAACAGATTGCGGACATTTGCTTCAAACATGAACGGCTCCTTGGCCTTGAAACACACGCCGAAAGCAATGGTATGAAGCTCTAAACTCAGTTGTTCAGTGGCACCCTTTTTCCCCTTTTTTTTTGGTGGCTGCCCCACTAAAAATAGTTTTCCCCAAAAAAGGGTTCCCTGTATTTCCAGGGTCACTGAACAACTGAGCAAAGCAAGTACATGGTCTTGATGAAGCTCCTGACCTGCAGCATGACGGCGATGTTTGATCAAGCGTTCGACTTGTCGGTTTGGCCAGCGACGGAAACGGCATCTTCGGGCGGGCAAGAGATACAAAGTCGTATGAGCAGCGCATGGAATCTGGCGGCAGTTTGTTGAATCGGATGCTGCCTTCTCAAGCAGAAGAGCCACATCAAGTTGTGGGGGGCATTTCAAAGATGAACAGGGGGGGGGGGTCCTGAATGTGCAGTTGCTTTCTGTGTTTGCTTCGGGGCGGGTCGGAAATGGCATTCGGCTTGTGAGTCGTGTTGGCCTGCTCAAGCATCCACAGCCTTTGAGTAAGCCTTTTTCGAGGCCTTTTTTGAGGTGGCTCTAAAGGGGAACCCCTTTCATGATTGCTCCTTCTGTGGAGCAAAATGCTCAATCAGTTGGAAGAAGCGCTACGAATACCGGGGATAAACCACCCCCCAACTACTGCAGAGTTGGTCCATCTACAGTAGACTGTTATTCCGATCTCGTTCCTCTGACCTGCGTGCTACTCTAATCTATCCTGCCCTTTGGATTTGCTATGCGCAGGAAGACACGTCCAAAGGCTTGTTCCTTGACATGGGAGATTGCGCCAACATGTGGCACATGTGTGTGCGTGTGTGTCCCGTTGTGTTTGTGCTGGTGTGTCAAATGTTTCCAGAAAGGTTGCCATGAGTCCTGCGCTCATTGTATTCGCCGGCATGAGGGCGATTCCTAAGTGGGGGAGTACAGTGCAGCTATGCGTCGCAGCTATGGTTGCTGTTAGCGTACCAAGCGAAATGCGAACAAGATCAGCGAAGACAGATGGCCATCTGCCCAACAAGGCTCTCAAACTGGGTCTATTCAAGTCACATCCTCACAATTGCTCTGTCATTTGGTTTAAAAGGGGTTCCACCACACGTCATTTCAGAAGACATGAATATGCTTTTGGCAACCACTTCAAAGGGCCCGGGTAGGGCAATTGCCTTCAATCGTTTCCTTTCGCCCGCAGGCGGGTATGTGGAAGACCTATGGGCGCAACTCCGGGTGCCGCATTGCCGCTCGGATCGATCGGTCGCTGGCTTTGGACTCGAGGGGTTTGGTTCCTATGGGGGCCGACCAACCCAGCCAGCCAGCCAGCCAGAGTGATTGGTTCAGAATGCTAGTTGAGGGCGAGAAGGTTGGCCCCGATTTGTTTGGCAAGACTGGCCCCAGTGCCGCAGCCGATTTTGGACCTGGGAATCAAAGAACATGTCCTGTGATTTCCTCTGCTTCGAATGTCTAGGTCCCCAGGTGACATCTCCATTTCAACCGCGCGGGTGTTAAACCGCCCGTTTGAAGCCTGCGCAACGATGGGCACATTGCAGTTCCGAGGACGAGTATGACCAGTCCGAGGACGGCGTCGGCACTGTGGAGAGGCCATCGCTCGGCAGTTGCCTCACCCGCCCGTGGAAGAGCCACAATCAAAACCCGGGCAGATGAAGGTTAGTAAGGGACAATCCCAAGCATAAACAGCTGCGGGCCGGCTTCTTGATTTTTTACATGGATCTGGGTCCACCATTTTAATACCGGGTTTTGATCATGATTCGGATGCTGTTTGGGGCCATGTGTTTGCTAAGAAGCTCCCCGCCTTCGCCACTCCGTATGCTGCTTTTTGCCGGGGATTGGGCCGCTGGAAAGCCGGGAGTGCCGGTTGATCCGTCTTTTTGTTCCTCTTTTAACGGGGAAGAGGAGGGCTTTCTTCAAGAAGTACTTATTCTGCCAGGCTCCTCCACAAGCTGGTTGGTTGGCGCCTTTTTGCTCCTTGTAGGAGAAACAGGCGCCAAAGCGACAGGGTGTCCCTTCCCTCATCTTGACACACCCTCCACATGTTTTTCTCATGCAAGACTAGAACATGTTCTGTTTCCCCCCGACGCACTGCTGCCTTTTGGTCGATGTGGAGCATGGAGGTTCCTTGCACGAGTCCTTGTCATTGGCATGCTGCACTCACCTGACGGGATCAACTGAGTAAGTCGGATTCTCATCATTGTGGGCCGGCGATGAAAAAGCGCTGGTGGAAATAAGACCACACAACGGGAGAACAGGGCTCTCAAAGTACACCAGAAAAAGGCGATGCGGGTCAGTTCCAGTCCGGTACCTTAAGGAGGTGGTTCTAGTGGCTGGTTTCATGGGGGTTATAATTAGTACGTGCTGCATCAACCTTCATCTAGCTTAGCAGCACCAAAACTCGATGGCTTTTGGGCGCTGCTCGTGTGTGATGCCCTTTCTACTGCCAATGATTTGAACTGCAGCATCTCACACTCATGGGGGCTGGGGGGGAGAGGGAGGGGAGGGGGAGGGAGCCCAAATAGGCCCTTCTTAGGCCCTGAATAAGGCCTTATTTGAGGCTTATTTGGGCTCCCTCCCTCTCCCCTCCCTCCTGCCCAGCCCCCATCTCACGCGGGAATTGCTCGATCCAGCTCGGCCAGCGACTGGCTATGTCTCAAGATGCCCAGGCCTCCTGGAGCCCACGGAGGTCCCCTTCGCAGAACTGATGGGAGTGCGTCAAAACTGGGGTCCCCCTCCAAATGTAGGTTCATGAGCTCCTTGTTTGTGAACCTCCACGGGAATGGGGGGTTTTATCACTTCCGTGCCGGGGGAACCTCTCCCTTTGAGTGAACAATTAGACTCTAGATCATTGTGGGAAGGCCTTCTGATGGTATGCCCTCTGGATGAATTACAGAAGTGGAAAGCACCATCCCCACGCCCAACACCAGAGACCCCCCCCAGCCATCCCCACTGCAGGGTGGGTCCAGTTGCACCTTGGGAGGCTGCAGCGTGTCGGCATGCTGGAGGCTTGCAAGGCGCTGGAGTGGGGCGTATGGCGTGCCACATGCAAGGGATAGCTGTGCCACGCTCTTTGAACAGACGCCAAAGGAAAATTATAACAGGCTCACCCGGCTGGCGGTAAAGCCGCGCCACCTATGACCAAGGTGCCTCACTTGGGTGCCCCTTTTGGGGTTGCTTTGAGGGGAAACAAAAGGAAACCCAATATGGGAGGTTCCCCCCCATTCACAACATCTCTTGGATGGTTTCTACCAGCATTGCCCGACCAGAGGTTGCTAAAGCCAGCAACTACGTAGATCAGAATAAACGGGTTGGTCGAGCATATTGTTTGAAGAGGGCATGCAGTTGGCGTGAAGAGCGTTTTGGTTTCCGGAGAAGTGGCAACGCAACCCACGGATGCACGGATCAGGCTGCCCTTGGCGCTGTCGCGCCTTCGCAAGAAGGGTGCTCTACTCACAGAGAGAAAGTGTGAGGGTCACACGGATTTGTTGTTCCAAGGCGGTCAGGGTGCGACCTGCAGCTCCTCCATTGCTTGCCTTTTTGACACCTTTTGCTTCTTGCTTTTCCTTTCAACCCTCAAAAGTTGACTGTTGGCAGAGGGTCTAAGTCTGGCCCAGCGTGAGCCTGCTCTTCTTTTCGCAGAGCCACAGGAGCCGCCTTTTCCGTATCCGTCCAGAGCTGTTCGGCCAGGTGATTTGCCAAAAGAAGAATGGATGCAAAGGCATCGAGTACTTCCTGGAGAAAGGCCTGCGGCATGTGATTTGCGGATGCCTCGCCGCCCCATGGCTCCATGGAGCCTCTGGAGTCAGCTTTCATGGCCGTTCCACACGCGACATGGGAATTTTTGCAGTGCCCAATTGGGCGGCATGCGTGCGGTTTCACGTGTTGTTTCACCAAGCCGCGCAGGGGTTGTAAATCGACCGTTTGCCCTACAAATGACAACCAACAGTACATCGGTTAGCAAAGAGCACAACGGCAGGGGACGCCAACAAGAAACAACACGAGGGGCTACATGGCTACGCACACACACACACACATTAATATGTTGTGAGCATGATTGCCATTTTAAGAAAGCCCACCACGGCTTCCATGATACTTGTTCAGGCCCTTTCAGCTGTCAGGATTCAATTTTGCAGAGCCCGCATCTTGCGGATGGAGTCCAGTATTGTAGCTACAGTAAAGATATGCGGCGGTCGTTTTGAATGTGTGGCTTACCAGCTGGTCGACACGACCTCTTTCTGTGAAGCGGACGCGTTTGTACTTTTCAAGAGATATCACGTAAAGTTCTCTATGATTCTTTCCTGGGGAGCTGCAAGCCAATGAGAAGGCCATCAAGAGGCCTCAAGCGTTGACCCCCCCCCCCCGCAGCTCAGCAAGCCTTGAGGGATTGTTCATAGTTTTTTGGGTGAGGGTTGCCTTTTCAGTTTGAACTAACGAAACACCAGAAGGGAAACAACCGCCAACCTGTGCAGACGCAACACGCGCAGCCAGGGGAGTGCGAGCTGTGGTTCACCAACATCGGCACCTCCGCCGGTATCTCGGGCAAGGAGTGCCTGATCTTCGACGACCAGCAGGCTCGGTTTAGGGACCAATGCCAGGTTTTCCCTCCGAAACCAAAAGCAACACCACTGTTTTGTGAAGCTGCTGCTGCATTATAAGGACCTAAATGGAAGGTGTGTGTGAGCTTAAGCCGCTCCCCTGGTGTTTTGGCTTCAATAGCCTCTACTTGGGCTTATTAGCGCTGAGGCGCCGGCGCCTTGGATTTGAACAGAACTGCTACCCAGCTTTGGTTTTTGTCTCCAGAGGTGCGTTTGGCGGTGTGGGGTTGACTGGGTGTGGCTCTTCGCCGTTTTGTTTGGGCAAGGAGACCGCCTCTTTCTGAAGTCCAGCCGAGGGAAGCCAAGTGAGCCATTGGCCAAAAGGGTACAAAAGGGCGATCAACCCCTACCGGGCTTGGGCAGGCATTTATATTCCCCTTTGCTCTATTTCGGGAACCGGGCTGGGGTTGAGTGACAGCACAGCATCATGTTTTGGACACCTCCAACTTTCTCGCCCTGCAGGATGACGTATAGCTAATTGTTGAGTATTCATGATGGCTTTCCACTTTATGTTGCTTGCGCATGGCTGGCAGCCCTTCGAGCAGTTTTTCTACCGACGATGGAGTGACTCATCCGAGGACCTTTTTGGGGCAGGTTTTTTGGATTTAGAGGATTCTTGGCTGACCTTGTGCAGCCCAACGCCTTTCTTTTCCTAAGGTTTCCAGTGGCGCTAGCCTCAAAACATGATTCTCAAGGAATAATTCGTGGACCCCATTATACAGGGTCGCGTTTTGGGGGTGGTTGAACCGATCTTCGGCAATTGGCATCTGCTCATGGTTGTTTCAAATTGGGTTTTAGCACGACTTTCTGTGATATGAAGGGAAAATTCTTGATAAACTAGTCATGGGATGCCCTTTCAAGGTCTTCACCCATGTCATCTCAAGCATCACAAGAGGGTCGTGTCCGGTAGCCAAAAAGAACAAGAAAAGCAAATCCGCTGGCATGGTTGCCACGAGACAAGGCACGGGATGTGATACCAAGAAAAGTCCCATTTTATGATGGATATGTTCATCCCGGAAACCAGAACAAGGGAATCCCCTATGACCGGAATCCCCGAAACCAGCACAACCCCCATGATAAATGAATAAACTTCTCCTGGAATCCCCATGATAAACGAGTCATGGGGTCTTCAACAACAAATCACCGAAAGGTTCATTCGCCATCTCAGGGCAAGTTCGAGCGGATCGGGGGCTTGGGGTGCGGCCACGGCGGCAAGTGCGGGAGCTCCAACCGGCCCCTTTGGCTTTGAGTCTCCGCAGGGCCATGCTTCTGGCGAAGTGGGGGGTGTTTTTTTTGGAGTTGGTATCCCTGTTTTGCGGGTTTTAAATGGCTATGGCGGCTATGGGTCAAAGATGCGTACCAAAAATGGAACCCTGGTAAATGGAACCAAAGACTAAGACCTGCGGTCCCCTCGTGGTTGTATTTTGACCCATACCCAAGTGGGAAAACCCACAATATTGCACAGCACCAATGTGGTGTACTCCTGGAACACGGGAAGCACGGGGCAGCCGGACGGGGAGGTGGGTTGATGTGGCTGGGTGGATCCATTGGAATGGCACCTTTGATGTGGTTTCGCGTGGTTTGGTATGGTTTGTTCCAATTGTTGTGTTTGCTTTGCTTGTTTGCTTGTTTGATACTTTGTGTCATTCTTGATTGGAATGTCGGTAAAGGGGGAAGTTTGTCTAAGCTCCCATCCAGTGTCATCGATTGGAGACACACACCCACACACACACACACGCACACGATATGTGCTTTGAGTGGAGTCGGGCGTGCTTGGATGCAAGCCAGCAATTGGAGTGCTAGTATTGGTTGGTGAAATTCCTCTTGAATCGTCGAGAGCAGATTGGGGAACTTGCTTGAAGCCTGCGGTTTTGGTCATACTGGAGTAAGCCCAAACCATCTAGCCTCTTTCAGATTGTCAGCTCAAGCATCATGAATGCGCTTTACGCAGAGCTGGACGCACTGGGCCGCGGAAGGTTTGCTAGGAGGGTTCCACAGGTGCGGAGCAGGCGGTTTCGCGGGTATTGCCCAGGGCGATTTTCTCTTGTGCCGGGACTCTACGCGGGTTTTCTGAGGCTCCACATTGGCGCCAATGGCCACTCGGATGCACGGCTTTGCAGGATTGCTCACCAAAAGCGCGGCGACCTCCAGATCCCAGCATGTGAGTCTTGTCCTGCTTGTGGCCACAGGTGGCGCATGACAATTCCCTAGGCTCGAAGCTTCCATTAGCCCATTGCCCTGGATGCTTTGCGCCGTTTATGTGCCAAACCTTTTCTGAGCCAAGACCATGGTCAAGTGCCCCGTTGTGTTTTCCCTGTGGGCACTACTGGCACTAGTGCGCGTATCTTCCGTGTCCCGGTTATTCATTTTGCAATACAGTATTTAGATCAGGGTGGAAATTGGGAGCACACCCAACTCCGACAGGCTGGCTGTCGGTTGCTTTTCCCCACCACTTCTTGACCTCGAATCGCCTTTTTCCCTGGGTGCAGAAGACGGACCGACTGTTTGGCTTGCACGCTGCCCGAAACAGATTGAACGGTCTTCACAGGCTTGAGACGACCTGCAACTATTCTGCACATCTCGGATCCTATGCTGGGCGGGCAACAGAACAAATCCGATACGAGCGGGAAACAGCAGAAAGGTGAATGGGTTGAGCTCGGAGTCCGGGCAAACGGAAGGTATCGAATGACAAACCTGGCCAAAATGTCAGCCCTCCCTTTTGTGTCTGTTCGCTTTCCGAGACGCCTCCACCTTTTGGAGAGCCCAGAAACGTCCACCGTCCACCCCCTTCCTCCCCCACCCATTTCTTTTTTTTTGTTGAGCCCAGCCATTCCCCCCCACCCCCCCAACCCCCCGCCCCCCCAGCTCGCGATCCCAGGGGAGGACTGGGACCACGCGACGCGGGAGGGCGCCATGGAGGTCTGCGGCGCCAAGTGCGAGAGCTCGGAGTCCTGCGGCGGCTTCAACTACGTGGAGGGCCACAAGCGCCTCGGAACTGGGGATTGCCTGGGACTCCAAGGCCTGGATCTGCGGTTTTGGGGCTCCGCTTTCTTTTTTCTTCTTCTTTGTTTGTTTGCCTTGTGAGAGAAAGGGGATCTAATTTTGGGGGCCCTTTTTTTGGCCTCCAAGAAAGCACAAGCCCGAAATGGAAGGGGATTTGGGCCATCTGAAGGGTTTGGCCCCCAAGGATGGCTTCCTACTCTTGGGGCCGTTCATTTTTTTGTGAAGAAAGGTGAAAGGCGAAAGGCTAGCCTCCAAAAGATGTCAAGCCGTAAAAGAGGAAGGGGATGTGATAGCATTGGGATCGCGTGAAAAAGCATGCGATACGGTAGCCACCGTGTGTGCCGCCCAGATCTAGACGTGACAGGATGAGTTTACAATTTAAACGTCTATACTCAACAGGAGCGATATAGCGATCAAGGTTGCTTGAAGTGTTTGGCACACTCTGTGCATTTGGAGAGCAGGCACAGCTGGTAGAAGCGATTGTCATCTGAAGCCACTTCGTTAGAGCACTGCACCTCTTTCCCAATCATGGAATTGGACAGGAGGATTTGGAAGACCACCATCCTCTTGAAAAGGCTTCTTGTTTACTTCCATGATCGGACATGGGGTACAAGGATCATGACTTTTTTGGATTGCTGTGGGGTTGATTCCCTGGATGAACTAGTGGGGGTCAGCGACTGAGGAAGTGCTACTACCGGAAGTCCGCGACGTGCAACAAGAAGAAGCAGAGCGACAGGGACTGCTTCGTGCGTCGCGCCCACCTGGCGCGGTTCAAACGAATGGGATCCTATTTTGAGAGAGTTGCGCCACCCATTTTAGAACCTATTTTAGTGGGGATTGGGATGTTGACTGGGGGTACGATTTGGATTTTGACCCATGGCCATTTTTGCCCGTGTGTGTTTCCTCGAAAGGGATGAGAGATTGGGCTAGCTGTAGCAGGTGGGAAACTCTGATTTTTGTTGGAACCAAATTGGATCCACTTGCCAATTCTCCGTGTTCGCGCATACCCGCCAGCTGTGTTGAAGTCCCACATGTGGGATGGTTCATGCTTCTTGCTTTCACGGTTGACAACATTGCATGCATGAGTCGTGTATCAGTGTGTCAAGAGTCGCTTTCCTCTTACAGTGCTGCGAGCATGTCTGTTTCCTCCAGTTCTGTAGTGAACCCACGAAAGTGCAGAGGGACTCGCGGGCTGAATTATATTCGGGAAATGCGGCGAAGGGACGATGTCAATCACTTGCCCACTTGGGCTGAAACTCCAAGCTGCCTCCGTGGCCCGAGCTTGGTTGTCATTCTTTTCCCCCGCGCCAAAGCTATATCCCGCCCCAAAGCTTCAGGCCAGGCGTTGGACAGCTCGTAAGGTCAGCGGGGTCCATCAGGAGTGCGAGGGAACGGTAAACCGCTGGGATATGAGTCGCTGACAATATGATTGGCCTATTGTTGCTGTTGGGGCAGAGAAAGGGTACGACATCCCTCGCAAACTTCAGACGGGGCTGGGCGCCAATTGTCCCTTGTTCTCCAGAGGAGCCAAGCAAATTTGCCCGGGCTGTACGTAAGAATCCAAGCAGAAGCCAGGGTATGCAAGACATCAGCTCTCGGGCTGCGCGTCGCGTGTGCGTGCAGAATTGCTGGGGCACGGGTAAACAATCAGGGCACCTTTCATGCAGGGCCTCCCGTTGGCCCCCTATCCGGCGATCTTCGATGGGGACGTGGGGGCTTGCTACCTTTCGTGTCTCCTTCTCAAGTTTTAGATCAGTTAGTTATTTTCCTTTGACCGCACGCAGGGCAGGAATCATGAGGCGGCTCAACCCGATTTTCTGAGGAGTTGGCCACTCCTTGACACTTCGTGCGCGAAGCTCCCAGTACATGTTGTGTCGGTTGTCAGCGTCAGGATGCATTGCCTCCCACTGACCAGTGGTTCAGTGGCACCTTTTTCCGTATTTCTTGGTGGGATGCCCTTGGGCCACTGCCCAATCGTTCTGGTGGAGTTCCGCTGTGCTGTGGGTTCCCCAGAAAAAAAGGTCCACCCCGAAAGGGAATCCCTTTTGCTGCCAGGGTCACTGGGCACAGGGAAAATTCCGGCGGCCACTTCCCCCATTTCCAGGGCTCCTTCTGGGTGTTCTTGGTTGCTTCTCACATGAAGGAGTAAAGCGAATGGGCGATCACCCCTCGGAAAATGGGCGGGCTTTGGGTTCGGGATCCCCACGAACCAACCCGCGGTGTTTGTCTTGGAAGGCGAAGTGTTGGTTGGGTCATCTCAACGCACGAAGTGACGAATTTCAAGTATTTTGGGTTTCCCCATCTAGAGACCACCCCACTAGTAGGACAGGAGTCCCCAGTGTCTGCTGAGCAATCGAAGCCCCCCCAGTTTCTATTTGGAAACTAAAAGGACCCACCCCCCTCACCCCGCACCCCGTTTTGGTATTTTAGGGGAAGCCAAACGGACCACACGACACGTTTCAGGGGGCCGATGCCTTTTTGCGTTTCCCCTCGCCAGGGCGAGGTGCCTTCAGACGAGCGGGTGCGAGGGCCAAGTTGTAGAGGATGCGGCCAAAACACCAAGAGAAAAAGCGAGGAAGTTTGGTTTCAGGCCAGTTTAAAGTCACCAACAAGAAAATTGGAAGTGATAGATTTGGTCTATATCCGACCCAAGAAGGGGAGATAGCCTAGCCACCAAATGAGTTTGGGTGCTTTGCAGAGGGTAGCACTGCCTACAGCCTGTCAGCAACTGAACTCTGAGACTGGGATACTATCCCAGCTCCTAGGAACCGACGTTCAGACATCCGATACCCCCGATAGCTGTGCTTCGTCTTTTGAACTCGTCCCTGTTGCCTTGCAACCCACCGGATTTGTGATGGGAACACCCTGTATCTTGTGTGTGCTTGCATAAATCCCCATAGGAAACGGAGCACTGAAGCATGTTGGCTTTCCTTTTGGGTCGTCTTTGACAAGTTGCCTGGACGGCAAAAGGCCTCCCTAAGGGGAACTGTTTTTGCCGACCCCAACCTACGGGGTGTCAGTGATCCAGCCACATGTTTGCCAATGGTCCACATAGAGGGTCGGGTCTTATCAAAAGCCTACGGGGTGCTTTTGTGCCCGGGCCGCTCGACCAACCCCAAGCAGCACTGCACGTGTGCGCCAATGATGAGCACACTCGCTCGACCGAACCCAAACAGCAGTGCGTGTGAGCCTGCCAACAACAAGCACGCACACACCACACACACACACACACAGCACTGCCAATGAAAAGCACACCCGCTAGGCTGTACCGGCACATCGAATTGGTGACGCCTAGGACGCATGTTCGTTGGCGGTGTTGGGTCTAGAGTTCTCTGCAAACGGTCCCTGAGAATCGGTGTTGGACCTTTCTTGGGTGCGAGTGTGCAGTTCCAGTGCAATTAGAACGAGAATGGCTGTTAGTGAAGAGGAGTGGTTTGGCACTGTGCGGGCATGGCATTATTTGCTGTCCAAGCAGTTGGGTGACCCCCGCAGAACAGCGGCAGTGTTTGTCATGGGGGGCATTCGCGAGCCAGCCTGAAAAGGAACCGCCGCCTGACAAGTTTTGTAAAATTACACGCAAAAGCGCGGCGCCTCGCAGCCCTTGAGCGTCACTGACAACATCCTGAGCAAGATAAACAAGATAGCATGTTTTCAGTGGAGCGAACCGGCGCAAGGTAGCTGCCCCTGTGGGCTTCGCTTTCTCGAATTTCGCAACTTCTCTAATCATTCCAAATTTCAGCTGGTCAAGGAGCGTCTCGCGCCCGGGAGGGGGTGGTGTGTGTGTGTCGCTCGGTCACAATCGGTGCCACCTGGAGGTCGTGCAAGGCGTCAAGAGCTGGCAACGGCGAAGCGTTTTGAGGAGAAGAAACGTTGAAGCTGAAACCGTTGCAGCTGTGCGGGATGGCTGGTAAAACTTGCTTTTTGCGCAGAAATCGCTGCCAGAAGCGAGCCTTTTTTTTTGTGGGGGGGGAGGGGTGTTTTGGCCAGTTGAATGACAGTTCCGCCAAGGCGAAATGCGAGCAATGTCGCTGAAAGTGCACCGCTCTAAACTGGCGGTTTCCCGGGAAAGCAACAGGTGAGCACACAAATCAAACCCGGGTAATGAAGGCTAGTAAGGGACAATCCCAGCCATAAATCGTTGCGGCCCTTGTATTTCCTGCATGGTTCCGGGTTTTGGATTGTGACTCACATGATACTTGAAACCACTTTCTTTTACGATCGCTTCACGGGTTTTCCGTATTAAGCCACCAAAAGTTCATCTTTTCGCAGCGCAGAAAGCAACCGAGAACAGGTTGGGCTGCGGAAAAAATAAACAATTCGAATGGGTTTCCCCCCACGGAGCTGATCCTGAGGCCACCACCACCACCACCACAGAGGCGGGGCCAGAATGCAAATGGGCGCGCTCCGTGCCTGAACGGCGGAGGGGTATGAACACAAATGAATAGACAGATAGGCAAATGAGTACCTATATTAAGCTATATATGTGGGTCCCCAATTCGATAGTTATCTAAGCACATGATAGCTACTTTTTTCGGCCATGTTATTGGGGCAAGGTTTCAAGCTTCCTCCCTAAACGTGCGAACCTTTAGCTGGTCCCCAAACCCGGCGCTTGGACCACCCTCGGCTTCGCAGTGCGCAGCTTCCTTTCTCGTTTGCTCACGAGAAAGGTCTGTAGTTTCTTGTTTGAGACTCGGTGCCCTGCTGGGGGCGGGAAGTCCAAAGGAGCAACCGCCATTTTTGTGGTCAAAGAGGCGGTTGCTCCTATGTCAAGGTCCCGTTTGTCGGTTTAAACATCACCTTTCGGCCAATCTTGGTTGAGCGTCTTAAAGTGGGTGGTGTTGGAGGGACATAGAAGGAAACCTGAAAAAGGGAGAACCCACGGAAGTCGACAGGGCAGTGTATCTGACAGTTCTGTTACAACTGTCCGGTCAGCTTCCGTGAATTGAGGGACCTCATGACAGGCTCGCTAAAATGACGCGTTTGACCATGTGCACATCGCATCCACCAGCTGCTCTTTGGGTGAATGCCTCTCCCATGGGACGAGTGCAAGCCCTTCCAACTCAGAAAATCACCCAGGGAAACCCAGATTCTTGATTGCAGCCCTGCATAGCATTGGTTGGTGAAGCAGTTCTCTAGGGTGTTTCAGGGCTCTTTCTGAGTCAAATCCTGCAGGATTCCTAACGCTTTGCGCTCCGGAGGAGACTGGGTCTCTTCAGGTCGTTGCAGTTTGAGAGGTTTTCCAAATTGCTTTTGGTTTCCATTTCACCCACCAGTGCCAGCTAAAAGGCACCCAGATTGCCTGCGACTGCACCCAGGTGTACTTCAGCGGATGCTTCATGAACCAAGGGTCGAAGAGGAGGGCTTTGGGGGGATTGGGGGCTGCAGACAGGTGAGGAAAGTGACTAGGTTAGATATGTACATACCCCAGATTTACGAACCAGGGGCCGGGGTGTATCAATCACGTTCCCCATGTCGACCCATGGATGAACAAACCACAGTGGGGATTCCTGTCTAGTGGGACGGCCTTGGTGTCCAGGGGCCGGGGGTCAATCAGTCAACATAAGCAAACCTTGGATGGGTCACAGGCCAGGTAAGTCTAGCAGCAAACACATCGGGACAAACCACATTGCAAGGCAGTCTTTGGTTCGTGTAGGGCTTGAAGTTGGAGAGAGGCCCCTTCGGGTGGGACCACCGCCAATTGGCATCCTTTGAGTTGCTGCATTGAGAGGTCTGCTTTCAACCAGCAATGTGGGGCCACCTATCCCATCCCTCGCCCTTTGTGGGAATTTGCCTGGTTTGCATGGCAGTTGTGGGGGTAGGTTCTGTGGTTTCGTTCTTGGTCTGTTTCAAGCACGGTCCTTAGATATTGTCACCAACCACAAAGCCATGCAAATATACAGGGTCCGAGTGAGGGTTCGAAATGGTTGGCTTTGGAGTGCTTTCTTTCGAAGGCTGGCAAAAGGGTTCTGCCGAGGGTCAGGTGGTTGGAATCTTGACTACACCATTAGAACCTCTGGCCTCGCTTCTTGCATCCTGATTGATCCAAGCTACAACATGTGTTCAAACAGCCAGTTGCCATTTATTCCGTGAAAGGGACATGTCAAGTTGATATTCCAACCCCCGTTGTTTCACATGGTGGCCGTTCTAAATTGCAAGTCAAATGATCTACAGGGTGGTCCTGAAGGGCCCACCGCGTGCAAGGCCAGCGATTGGAACAGGAAAGGGCGGCAAAGACAGCGAGTGCGCGAAAGGGCTACAAGGAGTAGACAGCAACTACTCGAAAACGAGCTTTCAAACCTGCTTCGCCCCGCAAAAAGAAAACGGACGATCAAGCCAATACTTTTAATTTTCCCTAAGGATGCCATGATTTTGCTACCACAAAAGATCGCATGTTGGCCGTTTTGTCTGGCACCAACGCCTGGATAGCAACCCCCTGTTTTAGGGGTGACATGTCAATCGTTGGAAACCCGTGTTTCACCATGCTCTCTTGGGGAAACAAGTAGGTTTGAGGGTGGCTCACTTGTTGTACCTGCCTTGTTTTGCCAGCCAGGAAAAATAACCGGGAGCGTGGCTCGCAGTCCATGCCCTCGTGCGCTGCTCTGGCCAAGAAGCGTGGCATGCTGTACTTTGGCATGGAGTACCCACAAGGCTCGATCGCGCGAGGGGGGAGGCGGGCGTGGAGAAGGTCAGTCTCTATTCCTTTTGGCCCCAAAAAGGAATTTGTTTGATTTTACGGTATCACTATATGCAGTGAATTTGTACAAGGTTCGCGACATATGGCCTAGAATCAAGCAGATTCTTTTTCGCCGGCTGTCCCCAATCCACAATCAGTAGTGGGACAGAACGAGGGAAACACCAACTACAGTAGCTGGCACAAAGAGTGTGGTGGACTTTTGAACAACCACGACCTCCGCTTTTGCCCCAACCAAGTGCGGGGCAGGGTGTGCCACGAGCCAGAGCCTCCCATTGCTTTTGTCGATTCATGGCTTATCAATGACACAACTTGAAGCAGAACGTCGAAGTTCGTTATGAGATCATTGTCTTTTACGACATGTTACACACTTTTCGACTCGGTGCCAGCCTGGTGACGGTTTAGCCTTCGATTGCCAATCCACTGATTGGTTTGGATCCTTCGAGTGGTGTTCGGCCTCACATCCCGGGATGTGTTGGCTTAAATGTTTGTAGACGTGGTTTCCCTTTTCTGCAGCTCAGAAGGGTCTATCGCTTTCTTTGGGTGTGGTGGATATCCTCAAAAGGGTCCGGGATTCGGGCATTTTTTGGCAACCTCAAGGAGGTATGGTATGGTGGATCAGGGCTACCTTTATTTCCCCTTTTTAATAACTCAGCTGGGCCGCCACAAGGCGAGTTTACTTTGGAAGGGAAGCCACTGGTCCTTTCTCACTAAATTATGGCCCTCCTTTTAGCATGGTTTCAGAACTCCGGGCAGCCAAGCACCTGGATTGGGGTCTCAAGTTTGATATTAAAAAAAGCGAAGGCCATGGGCCATGCTGATTCCCAGACACGCATCGATTTCCAGGCTACTCCAAGACTGGGGATGCTGAGTGCATGACGCTGGACGAGGTGCCCGACATGGACTCCGCCGGGGCCCCGGCCCCAAATGTGGTAGAAGCCCCTGGTGCCTGTAAAGGGCGGCCAAAGGACAAAGGTTGTTGAAGTTCCATTTGGTTAGGCATATTTTCTTGTTTTCCCGGCTGGATTTCAAGGGAATCTACCGCTGGACGTATTTTTTTGCAGGGGACAAAGGGCAAATGGAGGTTAAGCAATGGTTCAAGCATGTCTAAACCGTTGCTTGGCCCGAGCAAGTCGTGTGTTCCTGTTTTGCCGGGCGAAGCCGCGTCGGACTGGGGAAGCCAAAGGGCGAGTTGCGGTGAAGCCAAAAGTGTGTCACTTTTGGCGCGGGGCCGGGTCCATTTGGCCTCAACTTGGAAATTTAGACGACCATAGAAGTAGCCATGGCCATAACCATAAAACTTGTGATGTTGCAATTCCAAGACTTCGACCATGACCTTCTTCATGGTGAGCCCAATCTTGTTAAGATTCTCGATGGGTTTCCGGCTGTTGGGAGAATGCGAAAAGGCTGGCGCCTCGTACAGAACGATGTTTTGCCGGCCGCACTTTGTATGTTATGCAACATCAATGATGAGTACATTGCAAATGGCAAGCACCCCAGCAAATCTTATGTTACCTTTGAAGACGTCACGCAGCAGACTGCAGATTGGCGCAATATTCCTTTCTTCAGCGCCTTCACACTTCATATGAGATTGAATTTCAAGACTCGAGCGCCTGCGGTCCTTGCTCGCAGGCGTCCTTTCTGCTTGGCTTCCAGTACTGATGTTGTTCTTGACCCGCACAGCCCTACCGCTTGTGACGATATTCGCCGTTTCCTCAAATGTACATACCTCACACATATGCAAACCATTTGAGTCTATTCCTCTTGATTTCTGGTCCACATTGGACAGCACCACCATTCGTGTTCTCTTCGCGTGGCTGCAGTCCAAGTCCGTGGTGGCATAACTCGTTGGAGTCTCTCTTTTTTTTGTCATGGGTTAACCGTCGTGACACCGCCAAGTGCTTCGCACCTGCCTGGAGGCCTCTCTGGCACTTGAACGTGCAAATTTGTTCCCTTTGCGTGCTCAGTTCTGGTCGAAGACAACACCTTTTTCCACTTCTGCATGCGAAATGCTCTGTTTTTTGCATCAGCAGGCCAAATTGCCCACAAGCTCACTCGAACAGTGACCGAAGACCATGGCCGCACAAGGAGTTTGACCCTGGCACAGCTCGAGCTTTCGTTTTGGGAGGTCCGAAGTCAGGCCCTTGGAGGCGATCAAGTGGGGCTCACATGAACCCAACAGCCGCGCATTTCTGGAAATGGCCCGACCACCTTCATAGAAGGGGCAACCCTTCCTTTGAATGAAGGCAGCCTTGTGGGATCTGGAGCCCCCGAAGGGATTTGGATTTCGGGCTTCCTCTTGGCAGCCACAGCCTTCGACCTGACTTGTTTTAGAGGGATTGATGACCAACCCCATTAAAATTCAACTTTCAGCGAGGGAACGAATCAAGCCATGGCTTCCATTTCGAAAAATATCAAGGAGGGTTTACCGGGTTTCCCCTCAACAGAAAGTGTGGGACTGTCTCCAAATCACAGAACCAAAACTGCTTCCTCCAGCTTTCCTTTTGAAGCAGCCCAAGAATTAGGTTTCTTCTTGGTTCCTTTAAAACAAACCAACAGCCCCTTGGCATTTGTGTAAAGCTTCTCGCGCCCAAACCCCCCCCCCCCCCGGTTCTTGGCTAGGCCGATGACTCCGACTGCGACAAGGAGACCTGGGACAAGAAGGGCCTGGGAAATGCGCATCGCCTGGCGGTGTACTCCCTCATCAAGGCGAGATAAGAGGTGTGTGTGTGTGTGCTTTGGTGCTTTTTTTTGCTTGGATGTTAGGATTTTTACTTTTGCCAACTAATGGGTTTTCCATTGAACCACTAAAAGTTAAACTTTTAGCGGGGACCAGAAAGCAACCGAGAGTGTGTGTGTGTGTGTGTGGAGATACTGCATGGCCGCAGAAAAACACACATTTGATTTTTCAGGTTCAGGAAATATAAGAGGGAATTAGACAATATATTTACTGACACATGGGGACAAAGCACACATCAGTCTGGTACTTGTTCAAGCTTCAATCAAGTTAGACACGACACTTTTTGTTTGTCTTTTGTTTTTGAAGGGGGCTACCTTAAGACATGCAGATATGACTCTTGTCTCCAACCATCCCAAAGTCAGGTGTCCCGGATGCTTTTTTTGGAGACACATCCACATAGTTGTGGGACACCTGGTTTTGGGGACAATTTCCTTGAAAGTCACAAAGTAGTCATGGGAATGACCCATACTGGTATCACAGCATCCATTTGACTTGCATCCATGCTCACGCCTTTGCCGTTGACGACAATGATGGTAGACTGGGTTGTCCCAAACGGAGCCAGACGGGGATGTCAACTTTAGCGCTCAGTAGAAAACAGAACACCTCAGTTCTAAGTTGAACATTATCAACTTTAAGGGTTCCCCTCTTAAGATAATGTTGGGTACCCAGAAGTGCCATCGGGAAAGCATGGACTGGGCCGCATTTCAATCTCCTGCAAATTCTGCTCTGCCCAACAATCAAACGCGCCGGCGTAAAACATCTATGTCGGTGGTTTCCAAAGCGTAGCAACTTCAACCGCAGGATCTAATCTGACGATCGACGAATACGCAAAGGCCCCCTATTTTTCAACCCTCACAGGTGCATCTAACCCGCGACTTCAAACAAGAAACGGGAGGGTAAAACAAAAAGGCGGGGGCAACACAAACATGTCTGGAAGGTTGAACAAATGTCTCCCATGTGGGAAGATCGCCAGTCCTGAGAGCGGCCTTGTACGCTTCCACGATTGGAACACAGAAAATGGACGACGTACTTTGGTCGGACTGAGGCAGGATCTTCATTTTGTTGGACCATGTCGAAAGAGCCAACACGCCAGTTCTCACGTTTTGACACATACTCACTTGGACTGCTTGTTTGTGCTCCTGCCCTACCTGTTTGGGACGCCCGTCTTCAGTTGGAGTTGCAGATGACCAGGCTTCGCCTGCATCTTCCAACAGCCTGGTGAGAAGGGGTTGCACATTCGTCTAAACCAGACCTGGCCTTGAAGGAAGAACAAAAGGAGGGGAGGTCAAACCATTTTTAGACAATTGGGAGCAATTGAGCCGTGCTCGACAGCATCTTTTTGCCTCGTGGGAGGTCTCATGTTGGCTCAAACGGGTGTGTGTTTTGTTGGGGATACCTTGTTCAGTGGTTCAAAGGGGACCCGCAAATCTACAGAAGAGGTGCTCCCTGGGATGCAAACCACTGTAAAACAAAGTGTTTTGTGGCATTTTTCATGTTACTCTCACATCCCCACCACCACCCGGTCTCTAAATCTACGGGTTCCCTATTTTACCCCATGCCCAAACAGGGCATCTTGAGATGTGAGCCTCTGGCTTTATTTCCTCGATCCGAGGTCTGCGCGTCGAGGTCGGTAGAGGTGGAGAGGACCCCGGAGTTCAAGTGTCGGAGCAGCGACTACTGGCACGGCTGGAGCGGCTTTGACGGAAAGAACAGCGATTTGTGTTCTTTTCCTCGAGGGTTGCGCCAGCGCAGGTGGAGAAATAAGTCGAAAACAGTCTCCTGTGGTAAACACAGGAGGCTTGCTCAACCCAGTTTGGGGGGGTGGGAACCGGAAAAGGGATGGGTGGATCCATTCTGAAGCCTGGTGTGCATTCTTTCTTCTCAGAATGACCCCCTAGATTATTGGCTAAGCCACAAGTGTGGCTTATGGCTTGGTCATGCATTCAAATGCAGACGTACACAATCAGCCTTACAATAGGAGCTCGAGGGAGGGAGTGGGAAGGGCAGAGGATGCCCGGAATTTTTGGGCCCAAGACGCTTAAGGCTACAAACTGAGTTACACAAATGGACCGCCTTTCTGCAAACCGCTATGGTTTGCTTCACGAGCCAAGTGTTCGTCAACTCCAACTTCTTGAAAGTGCGTGGACAGTGCGCGGCTTTCCTTCCGCATCTCTTGAGGTATTCGTTTCAGGGATTGCACTTCCGACATTTCATTCGCTTGGTTTGGAAGGGCGTGTTGTGCTTTGAGTCGACTGAGCCCAGAGAGCCCCTTGCAACAAGGGCTCTCATTTCTGATTGGTGCCGTTGAGCAGATTTGGTAAGAACAAATGTGCGAGCGG